GATCTGCAACAGCTGTCAACACCATTAAAGACTCAATGACTCACAAATAGTTATGCTTAGTAGTTTGGATGTTTAAATATTTCCCAAGTTCTTGCCTTCTGAACATGATAAGAGCTTCTAATGGGAGGTTGCCTCCCACTGCAAGCGAAGTTACTCTTATCAGTCTACAGGCTGCCAAACAGTCTCTGCAGTTATTACCACCATGTGACAGCCTATTATCATTCTATGACAGGTCATTACCTGCACACAGGAGCAGGGTAATGAAATAGGAAGGGGGGCACGGGGGAGACACTGTGCTATCAACAAATCAAACAGATGCTCTTTAAACTAATCCACAGCCACCGAATATAACAGCACTCGGTGTCACAGTTGACTATGTTGCTGCACTCTGTATGTGGAAGATGATGAGAATTTCTACCCAAGGGCTGCATTCAGAGAAGCAACATGCGTCCAGGTAAAGCTAACGGTAATTGACTGGATTTATCGATCGTTCATGAACTTTGCAGTGAAGGCAGGATAGATGGGGCTGAAATTATAATAAAACAATCATTCCAGAATGTGAAAGCATAGTTCAATTTACAGATTGTCAAATGCCTTGCAAATTAAATCGATGGGAAATCATTAACCCACGTGGCATATTGTTTTCTCATAATATTCCTCTATAACACAAAAACAAACCGGGTTCATGAATATAAACAGTGCAGGTCTATTAGTCCTTTCAATGGGAATCCTTCGACATATTATTTCAGGTTTAATGTGCGTCTTTGCACTAAATAAAACATTTATTACCAGAGTAGCAGAATATTAGCCTTGCTCTTGTTTTTCAGTTAACATCAGTATGTGTGTGTGTTGCTCTTATTTATAACTTAAGTCCCTTTTAGTTAACTGTATGAGATAAAAATATTTAGAGTTATTTATAATTTAGTTTGAATAAACCAATGCCTTTGTAATTTTACAAACACTGTCCACAAAAACACATGAGAGAAAACTTGCGATTATCATATTTAAACCACTGGGTGAAGCTATTGGCAGAGGAATCATTTCCATTACCCCTTTTTATACTTTGTCTTTCCCATAGAAAATACCCTTCGCTCAGTGTTTCCTTGTTTAGCCGTGCCTTTCCTGGTCACTTACAAACAATTTTATTTCAATTCATTTGGTGCACTTTTTTCCTTTTCCACAGAAAGAAGCCCTATTTACAGAGCTTCTGTGTTTGCTTGTGTCTCTTTCTTGAAGAAAACCAATGGCTGTGCTAATTGTATTAATTCCACACTCCTATTGTTTTCCTTCCCCTATAGAAAGTACCCCTGACTCAGTCTCTGTTTTCTTGTATGTGCTAGCTGTCTTTCTTCTAAACACTAAGCGTTCTGCTGCAGATGACAGCTCATATTAAGATCTGATAGAGTTTTCTTCCAGATAAAGGAGAGTCTTACCTTTCCACTCTTGCGAGATGCATGTTCAAAAGGTGGAACTGCTTGAAACTTAACAACCTGATGAAAGTGACTCTCATCTTTACAAAAGATTATATGATTCGCTTACATCTTTAGTAATTGGGTAAATCAACACTTAATTTGACCAAACCAGGTTATCCTACACTGGTTATGATTTTGGCTTATGGTTTAAATGAATTGATTCATGTATAGCTCCTGATCAAAAGTACTGCAAGATCATGTGGATGTGATTTTTCCTTCTCGATGTGCCAAATTAGCATAATCCTATTAAAACACTTGGGAAGCTTCAACTAATAATGTGTTTGTCATGCATAAAATACACATAAACCAATTTCCCTAAAAGTTTTATCATATATGTCTTAGACCAAACAGGACCACAAATAAAACATCTGCAACCATTAACGCCAGTGTTTTGTCAGTGCATTAATATTTGTTAATAATTTGTTTTGAGAGTATAGTTGAAGGTGGTTGCAAAGTTAAAAGGTATTGAAAATGTTTGTTTCTCAAAGGATGATCTAATCCTTTAAATCTTAAACTCAGGGAGCCGAAAATCAAATCAACTCTATCTGAATACATCTTTGCTTTTTCACCACAGCAACAGGCAATGAAAGGATATAAAAACAGCAGTAAATGTAACAAATTAACTTTAAAAGCCTATTTATCTAAAAAAAAAAAAAAAAAGAAAGAAATCTCAGTGAGTGTGGATCCGAATGAGGAAAGCTGTTTCACATTCAGAGACAGCCTTCGCTGAAAAGCAGCAATCAGAGCAAGGAGCAATCAGCAATCAACCTCATTCTTCTAGATTATACAACCACGAGAGCGTGAAGATTGTTTTGTTGCATCTGATGCAGCTTTTAGACCCCACCTCATCACCTACAAGCAAGAAGCTTTGTCGACTGGAGGCATAACAACACAATCCTCCCCGGCAGTGCACACAACGGCATATAAACATGCATCCCATGAACACTGTTGTGGGATGCAGAGCTGTTTACATGCTGATGTCAGTTTGCCAGTATGCAGGATCAATATATGGACACATAATGAGTTTTCACTTGCAGTCTGCAAATGGTCAGTGTGGTTCAGTGTATGTTAAGTTGTTCAGATATTTAAGCCATTTGCAAGATAAGGAAATAATATTCACTGTTGGGATTCATTTGCAGAGGCGGCTTACAAGATGCCCCACATATGATCATAAAGATTTGAGCTAAAATGTGTTTAGTCCTACAGCCTGTGGTGTACAGAGGCATGGCATGCATAATAAAAAAGATGTCAGACAATCTCACAAAGCCTCTTAAGATCAAATGAGAGTAACTAAAAACAGGAAAATCAAGGAAGAAGCAATTGAGATGGTATGAGAGGGATACTTGTTTCAATTTGAAGCATTTCCTTCAATAACTTGGTTCCAACAAATGCACCCTGGGAACTCTTATTAGATTTTTAATATCAAAATAAAAGTCTAAAATCAAATATTGAAATTTCCAAAATCTCCGTTTGATATAGAAATTTCCCTTGAACATGTAGCATTTAAAATATTTTTATTTTATTTGAAGCTTTCAATATTTTGATGTCTTAAAAGATGGCTAAAATTGCAGAGATTAAGGCTTCGAAATGAAATTCATCGAAGTTGGGCCAGATGCAACAGAGTGGTAGATTAGTTTATTTTTTAAATGTATTTATTTATTAATAATTAGCCTTCATCCAACTGTATAATTGAGAGCAAACATATATCTCATGATTTGTGGGTGGTGCAGATAATAAAACCCAACTTCGTAAATGTCTTGTTGTCAAGTGACTAGAAAAGGGCACAATCTGCAAAAAAAAAATTCAGAAAACTTACAGTAGCTCTGGAAAAATAGTAAGTAAAGTTTTAAATATGAAAATCTATAGGAATTAGTGGTGAAATTATAATATTTGTATTCAAGGTTAGGAAATAATGAATATGAAGTAGTCCGATTTTTTTATTTTCAAAAGTGTCAGCAGGAATAAAAATGTTTTTCTGACTGAATGATTTAAAAATAATTACCAGTTAGTTACTACTGTAGATCATAGATAAAACACCTGAGACAAAGATTAGCACCTCAGCATTCCATTGGTCCTCAGCACTCCCACATCTTTTTCTAAAAGTAACTTCTCACGCTTGAGGAGAATCCATCTGCCTTTTTTCACCCTGAACATTCTGCATTATTAAGAAGCCCAGCTTTACACGGGGTGTGTCAGTAAAACGTCTCTGCAGGCTTCCAGTGAAATTCCCTCAGTATCATAAGGAAAATACCCAGCAGCTCAATGTATGGAAATATATCCAGACAGTCCGATGCAGTGAATTATACACATTGCCAACAAGCATAATGCTGCAGGATAAATGAAAGCTTTAGAGCTAAAAGTTCTTAGCCTTTACTCAATATTAAGTTTATCTGACTGCTGCAGCTTGTGGTGCCTATAACATTAACATGGACACAATATAAGGTGTGAAATATTTTGCATTTTTGCATAAATACGCTGTACATCAATGCAGACATGGAGGCAATCAGCGTAGTGTTCTGCAGGAAGCCCATGATGCTTTGAAACCAGCCTCCAGTTCATGCTTTTTTTGGCTCTGGCATCTCTCATTTTCCTCTTTACAATACTATAGAATCTCTGTGAGCTTTATGTCAGGCCAGTTTGCAGCACAATAAAGCACAGGCATACTATGGTAATAAAATCATGCATTATGTCCAGCTGTGGGCAGGTGCCAAGTCCTGCTGGAAGATAAATCTTCATAAGGGTTGACAGGCGCTCTGACTTTGGACCAACACAGCAGTCCACCACTAGCAGATGATATATAAAACATAATTAAGGTGGAAAATTCAAAGTGGATCTCAAGCAGCCTAATTTGACTCAGTGTTTTTCCACCTCCCTTCAATCTCTCTGGCGTTGATTTCAAAATAGATGCACCAGCTTAGTCCTGTTCTTCTAAACCTGGCTTCACAGTTCGCTCAGGTCCTCCCTACTGTTATTTTTGCACCTTTTTCTTCACACTTTCCCCTTTCACTCATCTCTCCACGGATAAAACACAAAGCTGGCCTCTTATAAAAAAGGTTTGAAGGCTTTTCTTTCTGCTTTTAACCGAAATAGTTCCCTGAAAATTGACTTTACTCACAGACCTGGATGTGGGGGAATGGTTGCCTAGTGGTTAGGGCATAGAGCGATGAATCCTGAGGTTGTGAGTTCTAAACCCACTCCCACAGACTGACACTCTGGCTCCCTGAGCAAAGACCCTTGACCCTAAACTGCTCCTCAGGCGCTGCGAATGGCAGCCCACTGCTCCCCAAAAGGGATGGGTCAATTGCAGAGAAATCATTTCGTTTCACTGTATTTGTGACAATTTAATGGCAATAAAAACGCTGGATGTCTCAATAAAATGAGTCTCACTTTTTCAATTTAATTAAATGTCATATTCTAACTTACTGGGATGGACCTGTGAATATATATAGATATGTTTTATTAAAATCAGAGCATCATTCCTCAGCCATACTCCCTCTATGGTTTTGAAGGATGAAGGTGATAAGTTACCTCCTCGAACAGCTCCAGGCTGTACGTGTTGTCGTCATCCGCGAAGAAAACCACCCCGGAGTCCCTCCTGCTCCTGTGCTGCCGGAGCCACGCGAGAGCCGCGTTCCTCTGCTCGGTGGCGCGTGGCATCCCGGTGCGCTTGAACCTGCGGGGAGTGAACACGTGCAGGTGTGTGTATGTCACTCCGCAACGGGCCAGAAAGCGCGTCACCAGGTCGGTGCGCGAGGTCGAGTCCTCCACAACGATCCAGTGAAGCCGGGGCACTTGGCGGAACGCGTGGGCCAGCCGGGTCAGCTCCGCTTTCTGCACCGGCCGGCTGTAGGTGGGGGTGATTGCGTAGATGATGGGGAGAGATGACTGGTTCTGGGCTCCACTGGCTCCAATTGAGCCACCCCGGGGGATCCGCTGCGCCTTGCCCGTGCGCCCAGGCACCGGAGCCCGGATCGCCCTCTTACTGTCGATGTCGATCATTATGATGACAATAAGGACCCAGGGCAAGAGAATAAAGAAACGACTGAAAAACACTGATTTCATGGCGGATCCGAACTTACAATGAGCTCTTTTTCTCACTCCATCACAAACAGATATGGATCCAGGTAACTCCGATCTGCCCTTTCGAGTATTTAACCCCAAACGCACAAACGCAAAAATCCTGATCAAACTGTTTGAGGCTGATAAACCATCCTGCGTCCAGGGAGTCCTCCCTCCTCCCCCTGTTCCTCCAAGTCTTTCACCGCTCTCTGATGGGACCTCTGCGCCTCCTTGTCGTCCTTCCTTCCTTCCTTCCTCCGGCTCACTCTCTCATAACCCCGCTAATAGATTCCCATGTTCGGCCGCTCAGTGCGCGTTTTTCCTCCGAAGAAAACAAACCTTGGCGGTCCTCTCTGCATCGACGAAGCAGGGATGTGCGCCGCCGAGTAGCATCACTTGGCGAGGACGGAGCGCAGCTCGGAGTCTGAGGATAATAAGCAAGGCAGGAGGGGAGGAGCAGGTGCAGAGGAGGGGAGAGGGAGCCGGGATACTGGAGGGAGGCAGGCGAGGAAGTGATGAGAGAGAAAGAGAGAGAGAGAAAAGAGCCTCAGTGTCCGCGGATAGTTCGCGCAGGTGATGGAGAGGGATGCTTTCTGCTCAGGCTGCACTTAAAAAGTATAATTTATTTATCAAAAGCAGAAGGGTATACACTGCAAAAAAACTGAAATAAAAGTAAGTTTATTTTTCTTAAAGTAAGAGCATTTTTTTTCTTGAATTAAGCAATTAAGTGATACACTTTGTCAATGGAATAAGGTAATTTACTTTCAAATTAAGAAAAAAACAACTGCAGTCTCTTATTTCAAGTGCATAATATCTAATCATCTAAGTTGATACTTATTTTAAGAGTAAAAATCCTCATTCCATTGGCAGATCATCTTATTTAACTGCTCACTGAAGGCAAATACATTTAAATTAAGACATTTTTACTCAATTTTAGATCGTTTTTTCAGTGTATTATAATTTTTACTTTTAACTTTGAGTCATGATCTTTTGGTCTGTTATGTGTTTTTTCACATTCAGTAAATACCAGGAATACTTTTCCTTGTCATTGAAGGATGAACATAAACATTTCTTTGACTTTCTTGCACTTTTTTTTTTTCTTGGTTCCTCTTTTATTTTGTTCTCCAAGTGCTAGTTTTTTTGTGCTTTGTTTTCAAAGATTATGTTAAGGCTTAGTTCATTTTAGTTAGTTACTTCTTCCCTATTTCTTAACTTTCTGCTCTCCCCGGCTGTATTTAATCTACAGTATGCATTAACTCACCTGTCTAGAATTCCAAAATTAAAGCAAGTATTAATAGGCTTAGTTTTTGGTTTCCTCTGTCAGCGTCTGATAATGCTGCTATTTACCTGGTTTATTCCTTAATGCATTCTTATATTTTATTTATTAACTTTTTGGAATGACTTTAGTTTTAGTTTCTTTTTGTTGTAGGTTTTAAGAGTTTTATTTTCTTGATAATGTTCTCACCTGCCTGCCTTCTTCCTGCTTTTGGGTATTTCATTATACATCACTATAAAACAAACAAAAAAAGATTAAACAAAAACAAGCATAAGACAGTCAGAAATAGAAACAAAGGTAATATTAAGTTTATATTTTACTTTCAAAGTGTAGCCTCTGCACAAAACTCAATGTTCACTCATGACAAAGGATGTTAAGGCAAAGCCTCAAACAAAAGTTTATTTTAATTGGTCCATACATCTTTCCACAGATTAGAGTCAATTCAACTTCAATTCAGTTTATTTATATAGCACCACATTATTCAAAACACATGTAATCTCAAGACACTTTACAATTTAACCAGATCATACAGTCAAATTGATTCAAAGATTTCTATCTAAGGAAAACCAATTGATTGCATTGACTCATTGACTGGAAGGCAATCCCTCACACTAAGCATGCTTGTAGTGACAGTGGAGAGGAAAAAACTCCCTTTTAAGAGGAAGAAACCTCCAGCAGAACCAGACTCAATGTGAGCAGCCATCGGCTGAGGCCAACTGGGGCTCAAAGAGAATGTTTGGTTTCTCAATCAGTCTTTGGGTGAGAGTGTGTGTAATTCCTGGACAGGGCTAGCAGCCTGTCCAACTTGACAATATAACTGTTGGCTAGAGAAAAATTAAAGATGTTAGAAGTTGTCCTTGTTTTTAACTATTCAATTAAGTTTTTGTAGTAAACAATTGCAATTGGCAGTAGAAGTGCACCACAGCATGCTGGTAGTAGCATTAGGAATGATCTTCATGTTGGAATAGGGGCCTTAGGTCCAAAAGCTTCATTATGACTTCTCTTAATATAGTCCTTGATCAATCCTTGTCCCATCTGACAATTTCCCTGTTTTCCTAATGCCCTGGAGCCCACATGTCTAGCTACAAACTGCTGTTGCAATTTAAATTGGCACTTCAACAGTAATAGCTGCTATTGCCCGATCATCCTAACCAATACTCTTTCAGAGGTTGACATGCAAGATTTTCTTTCACACCTTGGGAATGATGTAAAAACTTGTGCTAAAGAGTTAAACATCTGACCACACTGTATCATTGCGTGCTCCCACACTGTAAAATATTTTAGGATATTGATGATACATAAATTCCTCCTTCTAAAGATCAGGATTAACCAATAACCTACCTGGAGATGAGAAAGACTAAGACAATGTTTACATTTGATCACTGCTGAACTTTAAGAAATGAAAATGTCATGATAGCTTTACAAAACAAAATTTAATGTGGTATACACTGTGTATTCAAAATAAAGTTTGTCCAAGTCTAAGCAAAAGTTTAAGATTATGACAACAATGCTCAAATCACCGGATTTGATTTGCAAAACACTGCAAATCAAATCTGTCTGTTGGAACACTTTGCTTAAGCAGACACATCAAAGCCTGGCTACAGTTGTGGCTGTGGCCTTGCTGATGTTTCTCATCAGCTGTTCACATGGATCAAGGAGGGTCAGCATGTTTTCCAGCATTGCACCATTGAGTCCACTGCTGAACATTGAGTGTTGCAGGCTAATTGTATTCTACTGCATAGGCTGCAATGCCTTGTTTCTGTGCTACCACACTCTTAGATTGAAAAATATGCTGTTTCGCCATCTAGTTATTTCGTAAAATAATATTTGTAGCATTTGAAGCCCTCTACCAGGGCAGTGGACGCTTCTTGAGATTGCCTAAAATGTCCAACTATCTTGCACCCTATGGCAACACAGTCAGGCGCAGCTCTTTGACTTAACACAGACTCGTTCACGGCGAGTTGTAATAAGCAGGCTATTTAACCCAGGCTTGCAACACAGCACTCCTCCATTGCCTTTGCTATGTTATACGCATTTGAGGACAACATGCACAAAGTCCTTCTCTTATTCAACCTCTTTTCATAGCTTTGAGAGTGTGATAAATCAGTGTACCTGTGTGTGATCCGGGCAACCCCTGAGACTGCAGCAAAGACCTGAATAGTTTAAAGTCTGTACCCGATGGCTGTGCATTCATACTGATCATGCTTAAGGGCTGACATCACAAGCCCAAATATCTGTTTTATAATACCTATTATGAAATATGTTATTGTAAAATATCTATTGTCAATATATATTTTGAAACGATATTCACATTTCTTTCATACTTTGATTGACTGCAATGTTCTTGCTGTCAATCAAAGTATGAAAGCATTTTGTGACAGCATCCTACTTAGCTGGAAAACACACATCAGGAAAGTAGCAATAACTCAGTATGATAAACCGCAGCTCCATGCGGCTAATGAGCCGAGAAGGTTGAAGGGCTGCTTGTCAAGCACCATAATTTCCATTAAGTCTTCAGTCGCTTTAGCCCTTTTGTCCTCTCAGGTAATTTCTTTCTGTTTTTTAAAAGCCTTGCCAGGTGAGTCAAGTGATGAGATCTTCTTGAAGGCTGGCTTGTTGCTAACACCTTGAACAGTGCAACTAAAACAGTGTGAATAACTCCAATAAGACAATAGTTGTGTTAAAAAAAGACTGATTAATTTGGACGTGTTAAAGGTTGTGCTGCGTTTCCCTCCTTATGAAACTTTCTTTAAACATTTGTTGCACAAGGCCCTCATATTGTCCTCCTCTGAAACTCTACGGAGGTTCCACACTACAGTACAGCCGCCATGTTCTCTGGCTACAGTTGCACCTTGTACTACATTGAAGTTGTTTCAGGAGATAAGTTACCTCCTCCTTTCGGAGGGTGGGAGTCAATCTTTCATCCTTATGTCTATGGTTTGTATCTAAAGAAATGGGGTAATTGGTCAAATATAATTATTGAAATTATGACCATTGCTTATTTGATAGTTATTTTCCCAATAACTGTTGTACATCCTTAAAATTAATTAATTATTGTGGTAAAGTAGTTTTACTTCAAGCTCTTAAACTACCATTACTTTAAGAATTATATTTCAGTCAGTTTATTGCAGTTTAGATTAGTGTGGTTGCCTTGAAATCCGACAATAAGTGAAAAACAGATTACATGACTGGATTTTTTGTTTTAATGCTCATGTTTTGTTTTAATGTTCTCACGCCAAGATAAGAGCCACAACAAAATCACGCCTATCTACCCATCACATTGGGTTACACTAATATCAGGTCCAGGAGGAAAACCTTAAGATTCCTCTCCTTATAAGGGTTATTTAGTCACTGCAGGAGGTTGTGGATCTCCTCGGGTTCAACTTCCAGATGGATATGTTCCTAAAATTTCCAAAGAGTGTCACCTATGAGAATTTTGTACAGTTTTTGGAAGAGGGGAAAAGATTTTGACCCTATAAGACTTGCTATGTAGTTCAGAGGATTTTGTGCGGGTGCTGCTGGAGGATTTGGAACTAGTGTGGCAAATTCTTTCATAACTAAAATCAAAATCTGTGTCTTCATTGTTAACAGTTAAACTTGCTCCCTGTCCATTAAAACAAGTGATTAAGAAGTTGTGAAATATCCCTGGTTTACTGTACCACTGAGATAGTGTTTTCTAAAAACAATAAGATGAAAAGAGAGGATCCATTTGCTGATGTTTGACACTGATTAAGTTGCAAAGCTTTCTCTCTTAGTGGTGTTGTGCACTTCAGCCGAGAAGCTAATCATTGATGGGTAATTATGCACACAACACGGATCAAGGGATCTGTTGGGAGGAAAAGGGAGAAGAAATCACTGAGCTATGCTAATAGAGTTGGTTCACACCAAACTAATTGCAGGAAAACAAGCTCATAATTCCACAGGATGAAAGCACCATCGATTGGAAGAACCTGATAGCAATCAGAGTTTTAATTTTTTTTCCATTGTAAGGGGGTAGTTAAATGAAGAGAGGCAGTAAAAAGCAACATTACTGTTTGCAGTATTTTTGGCTTAATGACACTTATAGGGTTTTACATTGCCCTCAAGAAAAATAACTTCTGGAAGCATAATCAATCTCATGCTCAGTGATTTGGGGGAAAACCAAATAATGGGTTTATTCAGTGATAAATCACTTTTAGTTGGCTGGTGTGACGATAGCAGGGGGCTTAA